TGTAACATTCCTAGCTGCTCTGGAACTTGCTTTGTAGATCAGGCTGGCCTCAAACTCACAGAGATCCACCTGCTTCTGCCTCCTGAGTGCTGGGATTAAAGGCATGTGCACTGCCTGGCAGAAATACTATTTCCTGATGTTGCTATTTATCCTGGTATAAAATGACCAAATTTGGATATCTGGATCTTTATCATTAACATGCAAAAAAAAATCTTTAAAAATGTATGCATGACTGTGTAGCACATGCATGCTGTAGCTATGGAAGCCAGCTCTGGATCTATCTCTGTAACTGGAGTTACAGATGGTTGTGAACTGTCATGTGAGTGCTTGGAATTGAAACTGGGTCCTGGGAAGAGTAAGCAGTGCTCTTAACTGCTGAGCTATTTCTCCAGACCCAGCAACATCTTTTTAAAGGGCAAAAATCTCCCCTAAATAGGTATTCTGAAATCCCACATTCCTAGCTGTATTTTCTTTCTTTCTTCCTTTTTTTTTTTGGTTTTTCTTTTTGTTTTTCGAGACAGGGTTTCTCTGTGTAGCTTTGCGCCTTTCCTGGAACTCGCTTTGGAGACCAGGCTGGCCTTGAACTCAGAGATCCGCCTGCTTCTGCCTCACGAGTGCTGGGATTAAAGGTGTGCGCCACCACTGCCTGGCACTGTATTTTCTTTAGGCTAGACAATTCACTTACACTTTCTTTTCTCATCCAGCATTATTCGTGCAGCTCTGTACAGTGTAGGATGCTAAATGCTGGGTATTGAACACTGAACAAGGCATTTTCCTGAAGTACTCTGAAGCTGAAGGACACTCTACATGTTGTAGAGGGAACACTGGGAAAAGCTGATAAAACTGAAATTTAAATTAATGATTGGTTATTTTCAGGGTACGATTGGTGAGGGATAAAGTACCCTGGACAGGAGTTGAAAATAAGTAAAATCAGAGGTTGAGAACAGCTCTATTATGTAAGTATTATAGCATAATAAAGTCTGTAGATAAATATAAAATATATGATGGGGAGGAGGCAAGATGGGAAATATGGCTCACCATGCTGCTTGGACCCAGAACTCAAGCTTGTAATTTAATAGGTAGGAAAAAAGGGAACTAACTATACAAGGTTCTGTTTAATAAACTATCTCAGGAAGGCAGAGACAAGTGAAACAAAAGACAGGAATAGGGCTAGTGAGAGGCTAATACAAAGGTTAATTAATATCTGATGAAGCCAGGTTTAATGGTGTATGCCTGGGTCCTGGCATTTTGAAGTTAGAGGCAGAATGATCAGAAGGCCATCTAGGAACACATCTAGGGACAGGGAGACCCTACCACAAACAAAACAAAACAAAAAGAACGGGGCGGGGGTGGGGTGGGGTGGAGGAGGGACGACACCTTTTTTATTTTAAAAGAACAACTTGACTATTTGAATGAAAGGCCAAATTCCAATGATTTGAAGGTGTAAAAATACTCAACTGTATGTAGAGTATGAAGGCAAAGAAAATCAGTAGAAGACTTAATGATTTCTAGCTTTGGAAGAGCCCAGATGATATTAAGAGTCAAAACACAAAGGCAAAGCGAGTCAGGCAAAAGGAATAGGGTGTCTAGACACGCTGTGTTAAGCCACTGAAATAGGTGTGAGAAACTGGCAGCTGTAAATTTAGGTCTGGAGCTTGGGCTAAGGATGGAAGCTGAAATGCTAGCTTTGAGACAGGACAGTGGAAACTATGGGAGGCAAGATCATCTGGTTAGAGTCAAAAAACTAAAGGGGCCCAAGAGAGAAAGCCCCAGAAATGTAAGGAGTGGACAAAAAGGGGAGCATTAACAGAATGATAGAGAACAATAGTAACTAACAAGAAAGACAAGCGGAGGAACTTACCGGAAGGGGTGGCTAACCAAGTTCACTGACAGACACAGGAAACTGGCCAGACTGAGAACATACCCGTGACGGGCAGCTGTGGCCTTACCTAACAGTGAGTGACCTTAGGAAAAAGCTGTGTGAAGCTGGTATGAGTGGGCAGCCAAGAGTTAAGGCAGGAGTATCCAATTCTGTAAGTCTGTTAGTCATAAAGGGCATCTAGGAGGGTATGGCATCTTCACAGTGGAGGTTTGTGATTTCTGTACAGCAAGAAGTCTTGATGGGTAGTTTATGAACAGCATATGTTTATTTCATCTACTGGTCAAAACTTGGCAATAATTAAAAAAAAAGTTAAAGATTTTATCATCTAATCTAAATATCTACATATATGTAACTATTTTGCCCTGGATCTTGAGACTAGAACACAAAGCCCCAACCTTCCTTTGAAGAGGGTAAGAACCCGAACTTGGCCTTTAACTGGGTTTACCATGAAAGCTGTTAGCAAGCAGTGCAGCATAGTCAAGTGCCACATAGTTATGTTTTGGCCAAAAATGAGGTTCAGACGTGATATGGTCCCATAAGGTCCTATCTCTCAGTGACATCATAAGGAGCTTCAACATGTTAATGTTTGCACAGTAGAACTGCCCATGGTCACCATTTCTCAGAATCCATGCCCAGCAAGTGATGCATGGCTGTAAATAAAGATGCCAGTAGGTGAATTTAGCTGCTTATTTCTGCAAATCACAATTCACTGGCCTTGGTAGTTCTAGTGACTTAAGTGTCAGAAAAAAACAGTACTGCGGTCCCTGCCCTGTTTGCTTAAAGAGACCTCGATGTGTCAGCACCAGAAACAACTTCTTTCAGATGTGATCTCTTGGCCATGAAACTGTGGTCACAGGTGCAGGCACTCCTGCCTTCCCATTTATTCTCACCCAGGGCCTTTTCAGGGGAGACCTGGCTGGCTCACAGCACAGAGAGCAAGACAAAGGGCACAAATAGATTTTTACTGTTTTTGGTTCATCACACCATTGCTACTCCTCTGTAGTCCAGGAACTTCTCTAAAACGCAAAGAAAGAGATTTTCCCCCTTAACCCAACAGCCTCTTGTGTGTGTGGTGTGTATGTGCACCCTGGTATAAATCTCTGCATGCAGAGGTCAGAGGGCATCAGATGGCCTCCTCCAGCAATCTCTGCTTTACTCCTTTGAGGCCGGATGTCTTCCAGCAAGCTGGCAATCATGTAGTCTCTGTCCCCACACTGGGGTTAAGGCACACTTGGGACCAAATCTTTTTTTTTGTTTGTTTGTTTGTTTGTTTTTTTGGTTTTTCGAGACAGGGTTTCTCTGTGTAGTTTTGCGCCTTTCCTGGAACTCACTTGGTAGCCCAGGCTGGCCTCGAACTCACAGAGATCCGCCTGGCTCTGCCTCCCGAGTGCTGGGATTAAAGGTGTGCGCCACCACCGCCCGGCATTTTTTTGGTTTTTTGAGACAGGGTTTCTGTGTAGCTTTGGAGCCTTTCCTGGAACTCATTCTGTAGCCCAGGCTGGCCTCAAACTCACATAGATCCACCTGGCTCTGCCTCCCAAGTGCTAGGATCAAAGGCGTGCGCCACCACTGCCCAGCCCAAATCTATCTTTTAAGTGGATACTGGGACCTGAACTCAAGGTTGTGCAGCAAATGCTTTTAACCACTGAACCACCTCTCTAGCTCCCCTAGCCAATTTCCTTTTGTGTGACTATTAGTATAAGGATACCTTATATGATTAATGGTGCTAAGGGGTCTTATCTTTAGGGAATCTTATCAGGGAATGTCCAAGTAAATCTCTAATCTTTACTTAGAGTAGCCATTTTGAGATGCATTGTTAGAAATGGTTATTTCTATATAATAGACAAGGTCGAACAACAGTGACTAGGGCAGCGGTTCTCAACATGTGGATCTCGACCCCTTTGATAAACCTCGAACTTCAAAAATATTTACATTACATTCATTACAGTAGCAAAATTAGCTATGAAGTAGCAATGAAAATAATTTTATGGTTGGGGGTCACAGAATAAGAAAGGTTGAGAACCACTGATCTAGAGACTATTTATATTCTGTGGATTTGAGATTTTAATATAAAACTCACTTATGAGGTCCTAGGTTCAATCCCCAGTACCACAAAACAAAGTTTAAAACAAATAAACAAACAAAAACCAGCCATGAAATGTTACTTTGATATCTTAAGCATGTCTCAGTACACTGAAAACTCTACAACACTACTTCAAATTTTGCTGCCTCAATTTCTGAATATTCTGTGCATTTTAAAGAGGAACTTAGAAAACTAGCAGAACATTTTCGTAGTCCCTAAGGTCTTCCTGACAATCTCTCACTAATACAGCATCTTTCAGCACAGTGAAATCCTGGCCAAATAGCAACTGAAGCTGTCAGTAAGGGACAATTACTTGGGTGCCTCTCAAATCAGGCACTTCATATTAACTCCAGGTGGGGAAAAGTGATAAAAAAATCCTTTCCTGATCTCTAAGTCATGGAACAAAAATCTGAATGTGATTCTGTCTATGCTAGATTACACATTTCATGTCGAAGCAATATAGGTCAATGGTCTCAAGTGTTTTATTCCAATGTAAATAACAAGGTTGCAGTTCAGAAATAAGTCTGTTTTGAAAAACATGGCCAACTCCTCACTACCTAGAAAACTAAGCAGTTCTTTAGCATGAAATATAGTTTTTCTATTTTTTCATAGATTGAACATCTATATCCAATATGTAAATAAGGTGAATTTTAGTACTTTGTTTTTAATTATTTATTCAATTATATATATAAATATATATATATATATATATATATATATATATATATATATATATATATATATTGTGTCAGTTTCTATGGTCTCTTGACTTTAATGTGTAGCTATCTACAGATCTCCTTCTACATATCTATGCTGACCTTTAGGTTATTTCTGGCAACTTTGGTTTGGTTGCTGGTGATGAGGCCCCGAACCACCAGATACTGACAGAAGTAGAAAGCAGCATTAGATTTCTTTTTTCTCTTGTTCTTAGGTTTGGCTAGTCTAAAAATGACTGATTTTGATCAGTAATTTGAAAATGACAATGAGGATTTCTGAGCATATCTAAAATTTAAAAATTTACCAATTACAAAGACAAAGGCTTATATTCATTTACTAGTGTTAACACTGAAGACCCTTCATACCTCCATAAGGGTAACTACAGAAGATGTGCTCAACCAATGGTTCCCTTATCTAGAAACACACTGCTCTGAGGACTATTGGAGCATTACTTCCACTACAGAAGGGAGATAATTTTATAGCTGTCTCAGGTGCTGCAATACGTCCACTGATACCCCCAGCTGTTTCACTAAGTTGGCGGTCTGGTCCAGAATCCAAGCGAGGCTTGGTTTTTCCAAGAGTGTGTGCTCTTGTGTTCTGCACCATTCGGAAAGTGAACCATCTGTCCTGCTAGGACTCTCGTCAGAGGTTCTGTTCAACTCAGCACTGTTTTCACAGAGTCTTTCATCTTTAGCTTCATCAATCTTTTTCTCAGCTGGAACTCCACGACAAAGGTCCATATCCTCAATGGAGTCCAACAAATCTGTAACTTGGGGCTGTGACGTGACTGATTTCAGACGTTTGAGCACACACTCTTCGCACTGGCCAACTGCATCCAGAAGATTATTTATTTTGCTGATCAAAGCTGAACTATTGCCATGAAGGTGACACCAGGAGAGCAAAGCACTGAATGAAAATATAAACAAGAGTTAAATAGGAAAAAAATCAAACAGTCACAGGCATTTAAAATGCCAGGCCCCATATGTTTTCCTTCTAGATAACACCATGCAAAAATAGATTAACGATAATAATGCATGCCGAAATCAGGAAAGTAACAATGTAAATAACACTAAAGAGCAAACAAAGCATCTTTTAATACAAGTTAACCAAGAAGACTTAATTATATAAACTGTTTAAAATCATACCTCCTCCTTCACAGCTTTGTATCAATTTTACCATGTAACTTTTTTTTTTTTTTTAAATGTCTTTGTTGGCTCTTTTTTAAAACTTTATTATATGTGCATTGGTGTGAAAGTGTCAGATCCCCTGGAACTGGAATTATCAACAGTTGTAAGCTGCCATGTGGTTGCTGGGAATTGAACCTGGGTCCTCTGGAAGAGCAGCCAGTGCTCTTAACCACTGAGCCATCTCTCCAGCCCCCACCATGTAACTTCTATGCAATAAGATATAATTTACATGAAGACTAGAAAAACCAGTTCCCTCTTTTCTTTCCTTTTAAAATAGAAAACCTAGGCTTGTTAAACTATAAGAAAGACAAATTATCATCAGGAGGAGTACTTTAAAGACTTCGTCCTGGGCTACTCATTGTCACAAAGTAGTGTCAATGACATCTCAAGTCAAAGTTTTTGTCTTGGCAGTACTCAGTATCTATCATCAGGCATCAGGCATGTGAGGCAGCCCCCATTTCTCCTTCAAGTACATCAAGCAACTCCTAAATCAGTCATTCTTAATCTCTGCCACAAATTAGAATTACCAACAGAGCTTTCATTTCTTGAAAAGTGTTAAGAATTCTACTCCAAATATACTTAATTATTTTTATTACCTTCCTCCCTGATTGTTCATACAATATAATAAAATAATGGTTCTTTCCTTTTTCTTTTTTTGATGAGGATTGAACCCGCGACTGTGTGCATGCTGAGCACACACACTCTACTGCTGAGCTACAACCCTCCCTGAAAATACTTCAGAAGTGAAATCAACTGATGTGAAACTCAGCAGTAAGCTTTCAAAGCTCATAAACACGAAGTGAAAATGAACACTTGGTCATTTTCCTATTGTAGTAAATTATATATTCCAGTTAATTTTAGGTCTAAAGGTCTCAACATAATTTAAAAAAAACAAACAAGCAAATAATTCTTTTCTATCTTTTTTTTTTTTTGGTTTTTCGAGACAGGGTTTCTCTGTGTAGCTTTGCGCCTCTCCTGGAACTCACTTGGTAGCCCAGACTGGCCTCGAACTCACAGAGATCCGCCTGGCTCTGCCTCCCGAGTGCTGGGATTAAAGGCGTGCGCCACCACCGCCCGGCCTTCTCTATCTTTTTTAAACTCTGCGATTCTTCACAGCAGTTTGTCTCTCTACAAAGGATAGTTTAAGAACTATTCACATCAAGGAGTCCTGCTCTGCTTTTCGTCACCATGTGCCGTCTGACTACCTCACTACTCTCTGACATTCTTGCTACAGCATCTGGACAGGGATTCCAAGTTCAGGAGTGAACACACAAGACCCCTTTCCATTAGGAGTTATACTTTTCCCAATGGCCTTCTAGCCTACGCTCTGCCTCCTGTGTGCTACGACATGTGGGAGTATAAAGAGCCTTATTTAGAAGCTGAAAATCTCATTAGTGATGAGTGCTAAGTCCCACTGACAAAAAATGAACACCTTCCTACCATTTCTGTGAAAAAAGGAAAAGCAGCAGGCACACACGTATTAAAGTAGGTAAACTGATGACGACTCTTTCAAGCTTTTGGAAAAGCAGTATTTTATGCTCTGAAGACTCACGTAGCCAACATCAGGAAAAGCACTTTAAGACGTTTTATTTTTACATATTACTTCCATCAAAAAATGCATGAGAGCTGGGTGGTGGTGGTGGTGGTGGTGGTGGTGGTGGTGGTGGTGGTGGTGGTGGTGGTGCATGCCTTTAATCCCAGCACTCGGGGAGACAGAGGCAGGGGGATCTCTGTGAGTTCAAGGCCAGGCTGGTCTACAGAGTGAGTTCAGGACAGCCAGGGCTGTTACACAGAGAAATCTGTCTCAAAACAACAACAAAACTCCCCCAAAAAACCACCCCCACAAAAAGCCATCAGAATTGTGTTAAAATGATCCATTACTTAAATATTTAAGATTACCTCAGTGTTCCCCTGAGTAGTCCATAGTTTATAATGACTTCTGCACCTTCTTTGTAACCTTGATTGAAGCCCTGTTGAAGAGTGACTGCTTTGCCAGCATCTATTCCATCTCTGTAGCCTTCCTAAAAAGGAGAAGCTAGTTGAAACTGACACCAAGTAAGTCTTTTCTAGAGAAGCATAGAATCCATTTTGAAAATAGCTTTAGCAGGTTTTTACTATGTTAACTGAATAAGATATGGCAGAGACCTAAATCCAAAGCAGAATGTTTCTTCTAAAACCCTATTATTGGTCTGTCCTTATCACATCTGTTTTATTTTCTTAAACCAGCCTGGCCTGGAACTCTTGATCCTACTGCCTCATCCTCCTAAATGATGACAGGCATGTGCCTTGATGTCACATCCTTAACTCACTTCGGAAATCTAGGGTTACCATGTAAACATTAAACACCAGTTGTGTCATTTTCAATAACCATGTTAGTAAGGTCTTCACAGAAACGGAAAACTACATGTTTGGCCCTTGGTAACTGACTAGAACAGGGTAGTTAAGGAGGCTGGCAAGGCCGGGGAAGAGGAAACTATTTTAGGAACAGCAGAGAGGAAGTCTGAATTTAGAAATCTAATCTGAATGTGGCATAGAGATTTTGTCTTCTTATAATTGGTCTAGCCCCAGATTCCTAAGGTATTTTTATAATGACATAATGGATGTTGGATTCAACAAATACTATACTGGAACATTAAATTAGGGTAGATCACAACTGCAGCTTTAAAATGGCAATTAAACGGCTGATAAATATACTGGGAAGAACAGTTCTTTTTACCTTTTACTTCTTACATACTTATATAACATATATTTACTTATTTTTCTTGGGGAGAGGCGTGGCATGCCATAACTTGAGTGTGAAGATCAGAAGGTAACTTCCAGGAATCCATTCGGTCCTAAGATGTGGGTTCCAGGGTACTCATATCATTATACTCTGGAATCCACCTCTATGTGGACACAGATCTTTCCAGTTCTCACCCAGAACTAAGCTGATTCTACCCAGATATTATTAAGCAAGTTTTAATGAATGGTGAGACGAATCCGGAATGAAAAACACACTTAAAGTAAAAAGTAAAACAATATCTCCTTCTCTACCTTCCCGTCCTTTGGCAACATTCTTAAGCTCACCTTTTCCAAGCCTTAGTAACACCACGCCTAACTTTGGACTCCCCACCCACTGAACAACATCAGTGAGTGTGCGTCTCCTGCCAGCCTTAGTCTAATCAGTGTATGTTTCTCTCCTTCAGCTCTTTCCCTTCCCAAACTGCAAACTCCTGAGGGACTGGTTAACAAAGTTCTCTTTAGTTGGTCAGTCCCCTGCTCCAAACCCAGCTGGGGCTCTCAAAGAACGCGCCCGTTTAAAGGTTATCAATCCTTGGAAATCCTAAGACTGGGACAGCCTTGGGGTAGCGGCGAGAGGGCCGTACCCCTCGGTCCGGGCTTCCGCCCCCGTGCCCCGCGAGCCCCATGCCCCGCGTGGGAGCCCCATTCCCCGCGTGGGAGCCCCATTCCCCGCGTGGGAGCCCCATTCCCCGCGTGGGAGCCCCATTCCCCGCGCGTCCCCGTCCCCCGCTCATTTACTTGGATTCGCCTCCGCATGTGGCCCTGCCATTCCCGCTGCACTAACAGAGTCTCGTCCGCTTCCTCGTCAAACACGTCCTGATCCCCAGGGCTCGGGATCTCGGGAACAGACCGAACCCAAGACATCTCCGAAGAAACCAAGAGTCCCGGACCACCGGAAGCGCTGGGAAGTGCTTCCGGCCCGGGGGCGGGGCGAAAGGGGAGGAGTGGGACGAAGGGGCGTGTGCGCCTCCCCCTGCAGCCCCGCGTCTAGGGGCTGAGTGCGGCTGGCTCCTCCCATCCCCGCATCTGGGTCAGGCGGCGGGGGCGGGGTGGGTGCTGGGAGCTAAGTCCCACCATTCAAGGGCTGAGACTCAGTTTCTGCGTGTGCCGAAGGCGTTGGCCACCAGCGTGCAGCTGAGGACATTGGACTAGGAAAGCTGATTGTGCGGTCAGCTTGAGATTAAGTAATATGAACACCTTTGTAAAACCAGCATCCCTTGGCAGATTCCTTCCCAGCCTTAGGCTCCTGCTCTGCGAGGCAGAGTCCAGGAATGTGGCTCAAGCATTAGCAGCTTCTGGCCTGGAGTGTTGAAGAACTGGACACCGACACTAGCGTTTTTGTTTTGTGCATTGTGTGAGAAAAATGAGTCATGTGATAATTTAATTTTTCTGAAAAGTTTTCTAGAGTACCTATTTGTTGTTGTTTTTGGCTCTTTTAGGGGGCCTGCCACCCAGCTCCCAAATAAATCACACACGGAAACTTATTCTTAATTATGAATGCCCGGTCTTAGCTTGCCTTGCTTCCTGTCAACTTTCCTTAACTTTAAATTATCTATTTTTTGCCTCTGGGCTTTTCCCATTCTCTTACTCTGTAAATCGTACTTACTCTGTGGCTTGCTGTGTAGCTGGGTAACTCCTGGAGTCGTCTTCCTTCTTTTGCTCCTCTTTCTCTCCTCCCAGATTTCTCCTTCTATTTATTCTCTGCCTTCCAGCCCTGCCTATCCTTTCTCCTGCTTTGCTATTGGCCATTCAGTTCTTTATTAGACCATCAGGTGTTTTAGACAGACACAGTAACACAGCTTCACAGAGTTAAACAAATGCAGCATAAACAAAAGTAACACACCTTAACATAATATTACTCAACACCTATTTTGTATTAGACATCATTTTAGACCTTTGAGGGACAGTGTGATATAAGAATAAAAGTTATCTTCCTGAATTTTCAGACCCTGTAGACTTCCTATTAGTATAGAAATGGCAGTTGACCAACAATAATATATAAGTAACTCATAGTTTGAAGATTGTAAATGATATGAAAAAGCACTACTGTGGGAGAAGTCAGGTTACTATTTTAGTTTATCTTTCATTTCTGTGCTGGGGATTGAACCCCAAATCTTTCAAATGTGGAATGTGTACTCTGTCAATAAGCTATTCCCTACAGCCTCAAAGCTACTTTTTTACATTTTCAGAGATCATCTTATATCTTGTAAATATATGTATAAAACCAAATATAAAATGTGTTGATATATATAGTTATATATATATTTACATTTATATATAGATATATAAATATTTATATAAATTAGAAACAAAATGGTAATAAGGGGAGCAATAGGGATAGTGATTGAAATGAATAAGTTAGAAAACCCAAAACTTCTGCCTGTGAGTTGGCTCAGTAGGTGCTTGCCATCAAGCCTGAGGAACTGAGATCAATCACCATGACCCACATGATGGAAGGAGAGAACCAACTCCTGAAAGTTGTCTTCTGACCTCCACATATGTACTGTGGCACACAGACACAGACACATCACATGTAAATAAATGCAATAAAAAATGAAACAACACTGGCATAATAAACCCTAAAGGCCAGGGACTGGAGAGGTGGCTCAGCAGTTAAGAATGCTTCCTGCTCTTCTGGAGAATGCTAGTTTAGGTCTGAGCATCCACAGAAGGTGGGTGACTCACTACCACTTGTAACTCAAGCTCCAGGAAGTCTGAAGCCCTCTTCTGTCCTCCAAGGGTACTTGCACATATATGGCATACATGCATACAAACACATATACATACATATAAATAAAAATAAATCTTAAAAAATAAAAAAGAAAGCAGATAATCCTGTCCTGTATCTTTCTCATTAAAAAAGAGAAAAGTATTTTAAAAAACAGGAATTAGGAGGTAACCAATAATGCAGATGAAAAACACTATAAATAATTCAAACTCAAGGGTGACACTTTTAGTGTTTTGAGATAAAGTCACAGGAAACTTGAAATGTGGCAGAGGATGAGGATAATTTTGAACTCCTGATTTTTCTGTCTCTAACTCCTCAGTGCTAGGTTTACAGATGTTCTGTGGAACAATCCTTTTCTATACTATGAATATGCATTACTCTCATTGGTTAATAAAAAGTTGACAAACCGGTAGCCAGGCAGGAAGTATAGGTGGGGCAACCAAACTAAGGATGATGGGAAGAGAAAGGGAGGAGTCAAGTGTTGCCAGCCAGGCGTAGAGGAAGTAAGATGAGAAAAGGTACCAAGCCACGTGGCTAAACATAGATAAGAATTATGGGTTAATTTAAGTGTAAAAGATAGCTAGTAATAAGCCTGAGCTACCAGCCAAGTATTTATAATTAACGTAAGCCTCTGTGTGGTAATTTGGGAAGCATCTGCCAGGTATTTGGGAGTTGCTGGCAGGACAGAAACTTCTGCCTATACAGATGTGCATCACCACACCCAGTTTTTGGAGTGCCGGGGATTGGATGCAAGGTATCAACATGCACTCTGCCAAGTGAGCTACTTCTCCAGACCCTTAAATGAATATCTGCCCCTTAAAAGTTGAGCTGTCTGAGCTATTGCTTAGTCAATAAAATGATACGAATTAGAGATCCAGAACCCACAAAAAAAAATGCCAGATGTGGTAATGTGTGTCTGTAACTCCAGATCTTTGGAGGTAGAGACAAGTGGAATCCTGGGACTTTCTGGCCAGCCAAAATAGTTTAGTTGGCAATTAAAATCCAGGCCAGCCACTCCTGTCCCCCACACCCATACATTAGTGCACCTGAATATTCATAAGAATGTACATGTGTGTACACCCCCCCATGCACATACACATTGTCTTACAAGAATTTATTTTAAAATAATTCCTTGATATTACATGTAATTTTATCATTTATTAAAGATGAAAGCAAATCTGCATACTAACATATTCAACGTGATTACTTATTTTTCCATAAATGATTAAACTTTAGCTGCATTGCTTGATACTGCAGGACATGTAGTATCTTCAGTGTTTTTGGATTTAACTGTTGTAATGTTGGGAATGACACTTCAAACAAAACAGCAGAAGTATGTCTAGGGCTATTACCAAAGTTGTTGGAAATTTTGCCCTAATCCCAAACCAAAATTCATTTAACAATTTTCATGAAATGCATCTGTGACTCAAACAGCTATTTGAAAGTCAAACATTCTAATACAACACAGCCTGAAGATATACTAATTGATACCTACACACTGAGAAATGATGGTAGGGAATATTAAAGGTTGTTTGCATTGTATTTCTATAAAAGCAGAAAACAGAGTGTATAGTAAAAACACTTCAATATCTAGCATCCAATTGTCTCGACTCTGATCCTAGGTGTTCGAGGCAGTGTTCAGTGGCACTGTGTGGCATGAAGGCATGTGCTGTACACAGTGTGCTTGCTGTGTGTTCAGATCAAGGCTGCAGTGAAGCTGAACAGTACAGCATGAGCACATGCTGCCAGAAACACCTTTGACTCCTTACACGTTTGATTTTGAATTAGTGATTGTTGTGTATTCAGAGACCTTTCACTGTTGCCAAAGTTTTCATGATTCTCGTATTCAATTACATGACCTCCTGGTTAAAGAAGATCTCTCTCTCTCTCTCTCTCTCTCTCTCTCTCTCTCTCTCTCTCTCTCTCTATGTATACACATGCATCTATGCAGCATATCATCTGTATGCAATGTGTACACAGGTATATGTGTACATATGTGTGCAAGTGTGTGAAGGCTGGGGGTTAATATCTGATGCCTTCTTTAATCACTCTTCACCTTATCTTTTAAGACATAGTTTCTCATGAATAGGGTAGACTGGCTGACGAGTGATCACCAGGGATCTGCCCCACTGCCACCTAGAGCTACCACACTTGGTTTTTATGTGGTTGGTACAGAGGTGAACTCAAGTCCTCAAGCTTGTTCAGCAGGCACTTTACCAACTGACCCATCTCTCCAGCTCCTGTAGTGTTTTAAAAGTTCTCCATGTATTCTGGACATAAGACCAAGTCAGATGCATGTATACAGATGTATTCTTTGCACTAATATACCCATTGAGAGGCAGAGTCAGGAATGTATGAGAATACTGGGACCCAGGAACATAATGCATGTGAATGAGACCAAGGAGAGGAAGCATATGCAGGCAAAGTGAGCTTTCAGAAAGTGATGCTGATCAACTTCTGTGACAGGAAAGGGATGCAGAACCAGAGTCCTGGGCTGTAGTGTATATTTCATGATGTCTTAGCTAATGTACGAAGAGCTCTGCAACAAGGAACAAGGGAATTCATACATTTGGGGCACACGGACATGTCATGCTCCCTTGTCAGCTTAGTTATGCCTGGGGAATGTCCTGGAACCGTGTGGCCTTGGCTAGGAAACCACAGCAGATCCCATAAATACTTATGCCTTCAACAGCCAGATGGTCTTTCAATGTCCTTTCATGTGTGTTATTCTATTGTTTCCAAAATTGCTTCCCCACTCTTTAAAAGAAGAAGAAAAAAACCTCATAAATAACTATGACACCCTTGCATAAATTTTGATGTCATGATGTGAACCTAGCCTAGAGGATTTAAGAACTGTATCTTGCAACTCAGTATGTCTCATATAAACACACTCTAATGGGGTCAGCCTTTTGGATTCACCACATTTTTCTCCTCAGTCTCCTGCTTGTCATTCATCTTCGTCTTTCCTTTCAAAGACTCCAACAATTCTTCTTTATGTCTTTCTATTTCTCATCTCCTGCTGACTTCCATTTTTTATCTTGGTTTTCCACACTGTATTTGTGCCTCTTGCAAGGTGCTCTTTGGTAGTTGACATAATAAACTCCAAGAGGTCACACACCTTTCTTAGAATCTTCCCAGTTTCTGGCATGGGACACTTAATCATTTAGCCTTGGTAACTAGGCAGCAGAAG